TGTTTTGTAAACTGGCTTGAGCTTTTTGTTGAGCTGTTTCTCTCTTGTTTAAAAGACTTTTGTCTTGTGTAGTGGCTAGCTTCTGGTTTTTCCAAGAAAATTGCCAAAAAAGGAAATTTTTTAGGAAATTTAGGATCTATATAGTTATTTGTTTTGATTGCTAAAAACTTATAAAAATTATTAATGTATAGTCCAAAAAAAAATATTTTATTTTACTAAATGAAGATATGTTGATCATCTTGTATTTAATGATTTGATAATTGATCATTGAAATAATGAATACAACAAACCAAAGACTAATTTCGGAAAAGCAAGAATTATACAAAGAGCTTGGAGAAATTACAAAAATAGACCTGAATCATTAGCCACTCGAGCTTAAAATTTATTAAGAAATGATGATACTTTTAATGACGAGAAATTTCTAGGTTTAACGAAACATAAAATAAAAAATTCTCAGACTTGGAAACAATTTAATCAATAGTATAGTAAATGAATTGGATTATATAAAAACAATCCTATAATGTGCAATTCCATTATTAATAGACAATATAAAAAATATTATATTCCAGTTAATTGGATAAGTTCTAAAAAGAGTCAATTACAGATTAAATTTCAAAAGTGACTTTTAAAAATAGGAGTATAGTACTTTAAACTTTATTTTGTTATTCTGATGATTAGTAATATTTTTTATTTTAGTTTTATTTTATTTAATACAAAAAATCCCTTCGGTACAAATAGAATTTTTTATTTTTCAATATTTACTTTAATCTCAATTAGGTAAAGATGGATTCCTAAAGGAGGAGGCAAGGACAAAAGTCAAATGTTCCTTACTAGGAAACATTAAAATTTTTAAATTAATAGTTATAAAAAACTATTCCCAATTGTTCTTCATTATCCAAATTATTGATTTATATTATTAATTGACTTTTGTCCCTATTAAAGTGAAGAGCTATGAATTTTGTTCCTCAAAAAGGGACATACAGTAAGTGATTTGCAAAATTTTATATGTTAAATATTTTAGGAACCCATTATTACAATCAGATCAGATACTGATAGCTATTTCATTAGAGAATAGTAGCAAATAAGATATTAAAAACATCCATCTTAATTTTAACACTAGGCTGGATACATGCATCTATGAAAAAGATTATTTCTTTATATTAATCAAGCTATAAAATCAAAAAACAGAAGATTATAAATCACCATCCTTTTCTAAAATTAAGAATACATTTCTTTAGATATTATATAATAATATTATAATTGATAAAAATCATACAGTTATTGGATTCTCTTATCAGTACAAGACAAAAAGAGTATTAAAGAATTCAAATTTTTAAATAATAGAAAATTATTATTAGTAAAATTTTTTTGATTAGATATAATTATTAAAAAATATTGAACATTATATAACAAGACTAAAAGATTATATAAGAATTTGAGGTTTATTGTAAACCATTGTTCTATAATATAAGTAAGTATAAAATTAATATTGAAAAAAAAAAGAAATATTAAGTAAGACATTAAATTTAAGTAGGTGATAAGTATCTCAGAAAGTTATAAGAAAATAATTAAGATTATAAATAAATAAGATCTTTAGACAGTTAGAAAGAAGAAGTATATTTTAAAAAAGTTGACTCTTAATGAGAGGAAGTTTCAAATCGAGATCCTTTGAAGAATATTTATTTTTTTTTTTTTATTTTCTTTTTCATATAGTGTACTCATGTATTTTTAAATATTCCTTTTCTTTTGTAATTTCTCAAAATCAATTTCTTGAAAGATAATTGATAATTACAACCTGCTAACAATAATGTATAAATTAGGAGAATATTCATTTAAAACTTATACAAAGCAAAATAATGTTTCCAAGATTGCACTTAGAGATTGAAGTTCTTTTGAGAATTGATAACTGTTGACAAGTGAGTTAATATGTAATATAACTTAGCCATGATGCAATTGCTCTATATATCTCTATTGGTTTTCATATTGATTGATAAATATACAGTGCTAACTTGACCATGGGTATAAAAAAAACTTAATAAAAGTTGTATTATAAAGAAAGAATAGATTCAATATGAGGAATTAAATTTTTATGATGAAAAAATAATAATAAATGTCTAGTAAAATAAGTATGATTTATTGTTAAAAATAAATTATGGGTTTGTTCTTTAATTTTTTATGATACTGCTTAACAATTATTGGCTTTTCTGTAATTCAACAATTTATTGTTTTTCAAATAATTTACTTTTTGCAAAAAGTTTATAATGATTTGTGACGAATGTTTTAAAAATACAGTATTTGAAGCACAGTATACCGCTTGAACTTGATTTTCGTTAGCATCACACTCCCCATTCAAATATACTGCATGTCCCCACGAAAGTTACGCTGTTTTTTTCATATTAAAAGTTTTCACTTTGAAAAATAAAATTTCTTTGAAAAATTATCAATTGCTCATTGTTATTTAAAAGCAAAAATAATCAACTAATCAAGTGTACGGTATCATATAGTTTAGTTGATTAACTTAATTTAATAGACTTGTAAATTGCCCTTTAATTTCCAGTGAACTTTATTACACAAGCTGAATGTAAGTACTGTATATGCAAATGTGCGACTAGAATTTCAATTTAATACTTGCAAATAGTTTATTTTTTTAATTATTCTTTCTATGGATATGGGTAACTGATTATTATTGAATCCTTAGAAATAAACTTGAAGAAATTAAATATTTTTAGCTCCAGGGTGAATTGATGTATTTTATTGAACGTGACTCCTAAATTCAAGGGGTTCGCTAGTTTAGTGTGTGTAGCTTGCTAATGCAACCAGTTTCGAATAGATGTTATACCGATTTCTTTTTTATGCTAAATTCCATCCTAGAATATATAATACTCAGCAAGAAACCACAGAAAAAGAATGTTGAGGCAACCAATGGCTTTCTCAACAATTCTAGGGAACCATATTCATATGAGACCTGTAAAGGCACCGCATGTTCAGCAACCACATTGTACTTGTCAAGAACAACGAGGTATCTCCCCTTGCTGTCAAAATACGTTTTGAAGACAGTGTGGGTTTCTTTATTAACAGGAAACGGCGTTTCGACCTTGACGTTACTGGAAATAAGCAAGTTGATTAATGATTTGAACCAAAGATGAGCGAATGAGATATTCTCTGAAGTTACCTTGCACCCTCCGGTAAAATAATTCTAATTTGCACTTTATCATAGACCGCGTTATGAAGCGGATTAATGAAAGGTATATTAAGAATGTATCTTCCGTTCTGCCGGTTGTAACCCAAAAAGTCACCCAGAAGTACGTTATACCCATAATTCCATGTATAGTTCCATCCACCAAAAAGTGGATAACGCGGCCTGAACTCCATGACAGTCTTATCCCACTCGCTTCGTAAACGGGAGGTCGATACATTACCAATTTCATCTCTGTAATAGACATTCAAAACGCGAGGTGGCAATTGCAAAGAAAAATCACGTGCCATTGTCGTCTGATGATGTATGTAGACAGTTTGGTGATACTGCAATCGGGAGAATTGACCTTTGAGTCTAATATAAATTGCATACGGTATATGTGTTATTCCATCGTAATTCTTTCTCACGTGTAAGATGATATTTAAAATCTTACCTTGCACCATCATGGGTTAAATTATAGTGTTCCTCAACTGCCAGATTACCACCCCAGTGGCTAATTTCCAAATCGCGCCTTAAACCCTTGACCGTTAATAAAGCCTGTTGAAATTCGTAGTGTACTGATAGTTCGCCCGAAGCACTGGGCTTTACATCCAAAAAGGGTCCATATGTTATCGTGTTTCCGTTAAGACTCACGGGTCCAGGTTTTTCGGTGTAACTAATTACGTTGGCGGTAGGGAGTCTGATGGGCAGCAAATATTTTTAGCGCAAATTATTATAAGAAACTCCTTGAGGGTCGATAAAACTTACTTTATATTGGTTTTCTGTTGTTCAGTGAAATACGCACTATTTCCATAAATGCTTCCGCGATACAACAAATTTTGTCTCCCGGTCTGGGCGATTTCGAGCGGATACGGAGTCAATATGTGAGTGAAAGCCGTTTTCACAACCAACACAATCTTCTCATTTGGATTGATGAGACGATCGAAGGTAATTTTATAGAATTGGATCCTGCTGCAATTTCGATTTTGAATAAATTGTTCAATTTTTTAAAATCTACCTTTTTTTTTTTTTTTTTTGATCGTTTGAATATCACATATTAAAGGTATTCGCGATTCAAGTTCAGATACTTACTTTAACGAGTCAAACTCAGCCTTCGTAACCTCAAAGACTTTATTGGCTCTTTTCTCACTGGCCTCGATATAGGATAAGTGTTCGTCAAGACTTTCCTTTATCGGAAAATAGTACTCACCTAGTGGTTCGCTATGAACATTTTTCGCAGCGATCGTCGTCGTTTCCCTCGAGACATGCGTCGTCAAGTCTATCACACGGAGGAAGTTTGTGTTCGTCCAATATTGCGGGACGTCGAATGGTGCGGTGCTAATAGCATTTGAGGTAGCAGATGTATAGGGTATGATGAAGAGGTTCAACAATGTTGAAGCTATAAAAAAGTATAAATATTGATTAAACGACCGCATTCTTATTACCTACATATCGCAACAGGTGAGGACGTCGATAAAATTGAAATCGCATTGCAACCAATTAAATCTTTCCACGTTTGAAGTGTACACAGTAACGTGCTCACACTACTTCGCCACATGGAAAAAAAAAATATAAAAGTCGGAAAACAGCCTATTTCTTCCACATTTTCAAGAACAATGGAGGAAATTTTTGATCACGAGTCGCTTAACGAGGAGGAATTAAATGGTGAAATGACCGATGCGGGGTATGAAAACGACGAGGATGAAGGCGATCTTGATATGAAAGATATCGGGGAAGAAGCGTGGCTTGTCAAGGTTTTACCTATTCTATATGGTTCGTTGTCACTTTCTCTTTAAATTTATTTTGTAACGCATTACTTATAAATTGAAACAAATCTATACAGTTGCCACTATTTCTCTACGAGAGGTGGGTCGAACTTGATGATGAGTCGTTGGAACTTGCAAGAGTTCGAATCTATTCTCAACAACAGCCCTTGTAAGTTTCATTATTTATAATAATTTTCCTCAACGAAGTCTAATCTCATCAAATCTCCAACTCCACTTTCTTGAAACAGTGGACCTGATCAAGTGAGTGTCTCGTTAGAAATCACTGTACTTTTGTTCGTGATTTTCAAATCTTTAGTAATTATAATCATTCAGTACAAACTAGTTATAGCTGATAATGATCTGCACAAAGATTTGCCCAAAGAGTACGAGCTCGACATCATAGGCAAAGATGTCCAGGATTCGTATTGTTTCTGTCAAGACATCAATGCAGATACACGTAACTCATTTTCTCATACATTGCTAGAGAAAAGAAAGCAAATAAAGGGAAAAAAAAAAAAAAAATCTCGAGACGAAATGATGTCCAACAATCACAATTTTTTATTTTATAGTGGTGTCTCTATCAGGCACGGTGAAGACAACTTTCAATATGAAGCCGAGTACAAATGATGTAGAATACAATAAAAAACTGCGTGAAAGAACAATACAAGCTTCGAAACCTGAAAGAACGATTAGGATTCTCGGAGAGGACGAGAGTCGTGGCGCTTACGTTCCACCTGGTGGTACTTCTGCTGCCGTAACGAAATTCAGCAATCTAGTCGTATGCATCTTTCCAATGTGGTGCCGATTGTCGACTTTTTTTTTTTTCTAATTCATTGTGTTCTATTTTTAGCAAAAAAAAGCCAAGGTTACCATGGAACAGAAGACTACGCGTATGCCCAGAAACGATCTTTTGGATTTGCTTTTCGATGCATTCTCGAGATATATGTATTGGACTTTTCGTGGTCTAAAAGACTATGCGAAGCAACCCGAGGTAAATAAGCGGTGTTGTGTATGTTTATCGCTGATTCGAACAAAATCATGTTTCCGTTTTTTTAATTAATTGATTCTCTCGCTTCACTCACCTGTTGTAGTCTTATCTTAAGGAAATATTAAGTGAAATAGCTATTTTGGATAAGAAGGGTCCATACAATAATTGTTATCATTTAAAACCAGAGTACAGCCAAAAGAATTCGGCAGCGGAAATATCGGTGGCACCACAAGGTTTAGAAGCACCCATCGCAGGTGTTGGTAGTGGTGGTGAGGAACAACTCGAATTTGAAGAGGACGAGACGATGTTGGATCGAAATTCAGATGATGAAGAATTATTCGGCTCCGAATAACCAAAAGTGATAGCTTAATGTTTACAGTTTCGGATCGAAACACTAGAATGTTCTCATACTCGACAATTAAAAAACCTTATCGTCGGTAGTGATTATGCGCGACAGGTATTGTCATACAACAGGAATGTCAAAGTATATCCATGCGGTATATTGGCAACAATCGTTTTCATTTCATTTTAAATTAACGTGAGCTTCAAGGTTATAAGACTGCATTGGAATTTTCGAAACTTTATAGATACAATCTTTTAATATAATAATAACATTGAAGTTCAATGCACTCATGAAAATTTGTTAGAGTGATAAAGTACTGTGATTAACAAAAAAAACGTTTGCATAAGTGAATAATGCGTATGAAAATGGATTACGTAAATCATTAAATATAAATTCATTTCACATGATTAACCGCTAATTATGAGAAAATGTGAACCTAGAGAATTATTATTGACAATGCAACATGAATAACAAATGCAAACCTAAAAGATAAATTATAAACGTCATTTTAAAAACTTTTCTTATGAATGATATCTTGATCCTCTTGATATTCTTCGGCCGAAACCCACATCTAACCCAAGAAAGTGGTAATGTTACTGTTATTCCTAATCCATGCATACATGAATCTGTATAAATTAATGAACGAACCTTTTTGAATGTACTCAATGCGGCCAATATGGATCCGCCAATCCAAGTACTGTACTTTCTTTCCGGTGGTGCGTAGATTTTGATCTTTATATCATTCTTTGTCGCCAATTTTTTTATTTCATTTAGCAACCTTGCTCCGAATTCTGCAATTTTGAAAGCAATGTTAACGATAAAAGAATTTAGTAATAAATCTCTAGTCAAGTTAATAATTCACCTCGGTAAAGTGTTGAACCGCCTGATAAAACAATGTTGGCGTACAACGCCTTTCTTAAGTCGAGATCGGCCCTATTGATGGAGTCAACCACCACCTGGTGGATGCCAGCGTATTCTTGTCCAATTAATTCGGGATTAAACAAGATCTCCGGCGCCTTGAATCTTTCGGTACCCAACTATATAAGGTATTGATTGCAATAAATACCGATCACAATTTATTCTACTGATCAAATTGATAAAGAATCTTAGATACCAGACCTTGACAACATTGCCGTCGGGTAAAGTGAAATCATCATATTTTCCGTTCACCTCTTTCTCTTCTTTCATCGGATTGACTGCAACGTAGCAGGTCTTTTCTTTGATAAGACGAACAACTTCCTTTTCGGCTGTAGTGTGGAAGTTATAACCCGCTTTGCGTAGAAGTAACTGCAAATATTCCGTTACATCTCTGTAAATTCAATCCAAGTATTAATATCGCACGAACCGTTGCATTGGTGTTAAAGTCTTTTCTAGCACTTTCCTGCCGGCAATGTCCACTCTCCTGATTGCGTGCGGAAGCGCGAATCCTTCGTAAACAGGAACGGCGTGAGTCACTCCGTCGCCCGAATCAAGGACAATACCGGTAGTTCGACCAGATGAATAACTTCATTAAAAAATGACGGTCAATCAGTCCAAATGTTTCATAATTGAGAATATCATGTAATGATGACTTGACTTACAGACTCAAGACAGCCTGAATTGATGTGAACAAGGCCGGAACGTTAAACGTCTCGAAGAACATTTGAGCAGCATCCTCTCGATTTTTTCTGGGATTAAGGGGCGCCTCTGTCAGGAGCACTGGATGCTAGGATCAATAAATAGGATGTGAAACGAAAGCGATCGCACCAATACACTGATAATTACTCATTGAAAATTGCATACTTCTTCCGATGCCGTTTTTAATTCTTCTTCGTAAATATATTTCCATATACGCTCCATGTCATCCCAATCGGACACAATACCATGTTCGATCGGGTATCTTATTTTGAGAAGTCCTCGTAATTCTTGAGCTTTTCGTCCGATGAATACTTCTCCTTCTACTGCACCCGCCATAATTCGTACGTGTTTTGGTCGACCGACGCTGCAAAAATTCTGGTGAGTTCAAGCTTTAAAGAAGGAATGGATTGGTAGACGTGGGGTCTGCGAGATGACTTACTAAGTTGGGAAAAAACATTTCGGAAGATCCTCACCAGCGAACCCTGCCTTAATAACTCCAGAACCCTAAAATGCGACACAAGCATGCACTTGGTATACATATAAAACCAAAAGAAAGATTGAGTTGAACGAAATTCCATACATTGTCAATGACAACGGGCTGGTTCATCAAAACGTCTTCGTACTCCATCATGAAAAAATAAGGTGTTGTATAAGCCTGTTTCGTCTAGACCCTATAATAAATGCACGGTTTGCGATCACTAATCAGATTTTGGTGACCGCCTCGAATTTTGTGATATAATGTATTTTCATTCACATATCCCTTTTTATAAGAATTTAATTGGCTGAATATATTAACAAATTAATCAAGGCCTTTTAGTTGCACATTTATTATTACTTGATATTATTTAATATAAAATGCTGAGTTAAAGGACATAAAACTATCGTTATGCCTAAAGTACCTGCAGTCCAGAATAATAAGTTCAAGATAATTTAACTAAGATAACAATCATAACCAAGACCATCTCGAAAAGAGTAATGGCTGTTTTTGCTAATTCCATAGCCATCTCGTCTCAACGTTGTGAAAATTTACTGTATTTTGGCATTTAGGATCTTTTTTTTTTTTTAAAGTAAAATTGCATCCTTTTTTCCGATCGTAAGTAAAGAAGAGGACAAAAAATCACCTACGAATCCATTATATGACCTCAATTCGGTTTCAATAGAGCAAAGCAACTGTTCTTATAATGACCTGATTTTCTGGCAGCTTACAAAATTTATAGAATCACCGTTTTGAATTTGTCTGGGCAAAAATAAGGAGAGTCTGATTCATCATCAAGATACCAGTGCGCGGTTGTAATCTTGGAATTTTTCGATAATTGAGTGCGATATCTTTTATAACCAAGGCCCAAAGTTTTGCAGAGTATAGACTCAAGAGAGTTCTTGCAAGGACGGATTGTGGGAACTGTGACTGCAAATTCGGTTAAATTTGAGCATCTTTTCAACCATTCCCAATCACATCCCTCGAAATTCCAATTTATAAGCTCGAGACGTTCGATAGATTCAAGTCGGGATTGAAGCACCCTGATTAACGATTTTCCAAATCCATCTTTAAATATCAAACGAAGATTCAAGAGGCATCTTTGAGCACTGATGAGTTTCTCGAGAAGGTCATACATAAGAATAATGCGTGTAGTGTCGTTATCGTAAAGATTCATATCTATATGTGACTAGAAGAACGATTGTATGAGTAATGTAATGCACACGCAAGTCAATTTAAAGATACTATGAATGACCCCCTTTGTTTAAAACGTTGGCCGGAGGAATCATTAAGAATAAGAACTTACTAGATTGGTGCAATTTTTTGCCAAGATCTTTATAACACTGTTTTTTGGAAAGGGCGTTTTTATTTCGACGCGGGTCAGGGATCTAAAAATCGGGGCATAACTCGCCTCTCCCCATATATAACTATAAAATTTTTCGTTATTTGGGATGACATTATTCATAATGATAGTATTCAGTCTAAAATTTTCCGGACAATTCACTAACTGCGCTAGCACTTGAAATATTTCTCCAATTTCGGAACTATCTAGCTCTGTACAATTAAGCTCTCGGAGATACAGTGGATATTGTACGTAAAGACTTGGTTTATCATTTCCTTGGATAAGAAATAGCCTATAAATCTCCAGTGCAGCTTGGCTCCTCCTCCTTGTATAGCCGAAAGGAGCCCTCCAACATAATGGAATAACGGCCCTGCACCATACTCGGTTAACTAGAAGCGCTGAGAAAAGGTCACGAGGATCACTCAAATATTGAAGGACTTCTCTGATAACGTCTTCAACCAAGTTTACCATTGCTATTGAAATTAGACAAGTCAGATAGATATCTGAGTCTATTATATTAAACTTTTAAATAGTCTCCAACGCCGCACGCGTCTTGAAACCAGATTTGTGCACGCATTTTCCAAAATTACGTAAATTACGTAATTACAAACCAGAAACAAAGCGTTTTGGTTATAATTAAACTTATTGATCTACAGAATTTTCTTTTTACTTCCATTCAGAAACAATGTCTTTTCTTGATAATATTAATGAGAAAGTTGTGTATTTTCTTTTCTTTACCGGATTTTATAAATGGATAAATATTTTTTGCGGAATGCGCATTAGCATATTTTCCTTAAGACTATAGCAAACAAATTTTTGCATAACTTATTAATACTGTAAATTACTAAAAATTGTATTATCTGATTATGGTCTAATAAATCAAATTATACAACCTTGATCAGTTTTAGCACTAAGGATAAATAGGTGAAAATATCAAAACAAGTTAGAAAAGATCCTGATTGGTTCAAATCTCTAATGAAGATATGAAAAATTTTATTTTTTTTCAAAAATATATCCTATAGAAAATAAAAAAGATTTTAGTTGTTTATATTAGTCAAAAAAATACAATAGATTATAACAAAATTAATGGAAAATTATCATGATCATGAAATCAATGACTATTAAAGAGAACTATTATTGCTAAAGTTAATGATTAATATATAGTATTATAATAAGAATCATAAGGGTAAACTAGAAATTTGATAAAAATAATTCAAAATATAACAATTAAAGAAAATCCTTATAGATTATTTTGAAAAAATAATTAAAAATGAGATAATAGAAGACTATATGTTACTTAAGCAAATAATATTATTTAATTATCAGGATATTAGTATATAACTATAAATAACTATAGAACATATATATATCAGAATATAATAAATCTTTTAAGAACTAAATATAATAAGAATTTATTATAATACTTATGTAATAAGATATAAAAAATATCAATCTAAAGAATACACTTTGACAAGTTTTTTCAAAAATATGAAAATCTTATAATAAATCCTTGAAATATTATAGGACCTAGACAAAATAGAACAAATTGATAAAAATAATATACTTGTGATAAAATTAATATATTGGTTAAATAATAAATAATATAAAAATTAAATTAATTACTAATATAATCCGTAATTAAATGGTTCATATTTATTAATTAAACTAATTAAAAAAAATTATAATAATACAATAACTATTTCAAAAAAATTTTTATAACTTTTTTATATTTATTAATAAAGTTTTTTAATTATTTTTTTATAATAATTAATTTTATTTTATATTAAATCTTAAGATATTCTTGAATAATCTTGACTTCATTCTTATATATATAATTACATATAAATTTATAAAGACTTTAATTTTATTATATATTTTATTAAGTTATTTAATAATTTTTTTTTAAATAATTTCTAATTTATTTATTATAATCTTCTCTTCTTTTATTAAATATTAAATCAATTTATTATTTGTTTTTTTTTTAATTTTTTGTTTTATTAAAATAAATTATTGAATATTTATATAAATATCTAATTATTTTATCTTGGATTTTATATTTCTAACAAATTATTGTTAAATATATTTCAATTTTTTTTCTTTAAAACATTTGAAGTATAAATAGTTTATTATATATTAAATTTATTAAAAAATTTTTATTTTTAATTCTTTTTATCTAATCTAGTTTAAATAAAAAAAATTTTTTAACCTATAATCATATCATTATAATATATCTTTATTGAAATATTAGAAAATATTTATAATATTATATAGATTTTACATAATAATTAACTTATTTTTATATATTATTAGTTAAAGGACTATATTACTAAAAAATATGAAAAATTCATTAATCTAGTTTAAACCAAACAAAAAAAAATTCAAATTAAATATTTTAAGTCAAATTTAGGAGACAATATTATACTTTCTTAATAGATTAATTATAATTTCTATTTATTAAAATCATAATTTATAGTTTGTTACTATAGATTATTTCAAAAAATAGTAAATTGTAAAATTATATATT